GTGTGTGGAGCAGAGAGGGAGACACTTTACTGTGGGGATGGTAAACTTCACTGCGCTCCAGCGATATGTAAATATGACAGTGCTTCGGAGGGCAGAATATATGTGACACATTGATTAAAATGTTGGGCGAGAACAACGTAGCGATGTCTGCGCTTCATATCTAATTAAAAGAGATCATTGTCTTCTGGCTGCTCTCTGGCAGTTCAATTCGCCTCGTTTTCACTCTGTTGATGAGCCAAGGGAAGGCACTGCATATTTACCCCACTTGTATATTTATATATTTTTGGCACAAACATAACACCCCTCCTTTGTTTTGGTTAATCTACGGCGGCGAAATGATTCACTTATGAAGTGTAGACTTAACTATGTTGTTGGATTGAAAAAGAAGAGACGAGGGAGAATGTGATCAGAAATCCATTAAAAAACTGGGAAAAAAATAGTATAAGTTTCTGTTAAATGGAAGCAACGCATTAAATAAATCCCAAAAGCCCAGAATAATCACAGTGCCAAAGAGAGGGAGAGGACTTTACTGGTGAGTGCCACCAAGCGTATTCTAAAGCAGGTACCTTCACATCAATTTGATCAAAGTTTACTTTTTGAAATGTTACTCTCCATTTGGAGCCCAAGTCAAAAAAGCTCAGCCTCAGTTGCACGCTTTTCTAATCTCTGGCTACAGTAGAGCATGTTAATACGTGCAAGTTCAAGTTCTCCTGCGAAGTTTCAATGATCTAAAAATCAGCTCTTTCACAAGGCAGATACTCAGCATCTTTCCATATTTTCTGAATGCAGTCTCAAAGTTCTTTGTCTGCAGAGAGGAAGCCACTCATTAAAAGTGTGATTTGCACTCTGGTCACACACCAGCAGCAGACAACGGACATGGCGAGCAGTCACCCAGCCGCAAATCCTTGCAGAATGCGCACATGCCTAGCTAATTAACAAACTCGCACGCCTCAAACCGAACGGCCGACAAGGTCAGAGGGTGATGAACATCAGTAGCCAGAGACACTCGGTGGCAAATATACATTAAATAACACTCCCACTGGGTGGTCTTAATGAAGAATTCATGGAGAGGTTTATGAACTGTGATCTTTTATGAACTATGTTACCCAATTACCTGATAACATATTGTGACTTCCATCTCGTTAATGATTCAAAGGAAACTTGTGGATTTTCTCGCTTGGCACCTGATGTTGTTTTGACTAACATTTTAACTCAGAACATCACATTACACTTGCCAGGCTGACAGACCGTCATATGCTACTATACTATGTGTTTTTTTGAAGAGGAAAGAGAAGCATATTAAACATTTATGGATACACATAAAATCCAGTCACTATGATTTCTTTGATATAACAGGCTGCTTTGAAGAACAGGATGGAAAAAGAAAAAGGCATGGATAGAGGCAGAGAGTGGCAAAGGCATGCCGTGGTGTACACTTAGAAATGTAAATTCAATAATGGTGTGAATAATCAATAGATATACTTGCACACATTCTACAGAGAGCCACTTGAAAAAAAAATGTGAAGTAGCCTTAAAAACACTCTCTCCGGCATCAATACCGCTGATTACCATCCAGTCTTCAACGCTTTCAATCGATACTTCCACGCTGAAATTAAGAGCAGGAGCATCCCCTGCATTTCCGAACAGGGATTAAAACCATTACATGAATCTTGACTTTCAAAAGCTTGTTTATCTACTCCCCATTCTGAGCCTACCGGGCCTCAGTCACACATTGATGAACGGCGTTTCCCTGCCAAGGCCATGTAACTGGGTGCACCCTGTGTTTCTGTCGGCTCTTGCATCTGTCTGCTGGCATGTCATGTGGAAAGGTCAACCTGGTATCTCCACCTCTCAAAGTGGGGGGAGAGAAAAAAAACAGCTAACAGCTAACCGTTTCTGTACATGTCAAAGATGTGAACTGCAATAAGTTAGAGGTGCCAGACAGGCAGGGATTTAAATGATTAACTGTAAAGGAGGGGTAAAGATACAGTCAAGCTCTGTTCAAGCTTTCGTATGGAAGTATCATTTCTAAATTGCATATTTTGGATGCAACAGTGCAGTACTGTTATGGTGGTTATTGTAGAACTGGAGATATGATAAGGGACTAACATGGATCGCAATTTTGACCAATGTTGTGTAGGTTCCTGCCCCTTTGAGGGTTTAAGACACGAGATAAGAACTGACTCAGTATCCTATAAAATTTAACAGAGCCACCGCGGGAGCTGCAGGAATTTAATTTCTCTCATTGCTGATATGCGACTCTCTAGGACAGAGTGGGCTAAACGAAGGGGGTGAAAGGGAGTGTGGGAGTTGTGAGAGAAAACGAAAGCAAGATAATGAGATGAAGAAGGAAATTACAGGGAGCATGAGGGGTATATGCACAAGGTGTTGGGAAATTGAGAGACTGTAATACAGAGGCAGCGGGAATGATGCTGGAGAAGGAAAGGAGCAAGGGAAATGGAGAGTGGGAGAGAACGGCTTAAGAATGTGAAGAAGATGAGAGAAATGGCAGGAGGGAGGGTGGGCTGGACGAGGGCCTTTCATATTGATACAATCGGTCAGGAAATAATAACACGAGTGAGTGAATAAGAAAACCTCATTTCACGTAATGAGTATTCTAATCAAGAGATTACATTATCTCACATCGCAGAGACAGGGGAGAGTGAAGCCCCTGGCAACTGGGTGTTGGCAGTGATCGCGTGCTGGGGAATGGCTTAATGCCTTCTATAACTGTGCTGGTACAGCAGAGCTATTACAGTACATGCCTATGCACAATCACACCCTTGGATACACACACGCACACACCTAGACACTCTTGTATTTATGAATCCGTGCATGCCAACTGGAAAAAAGTTGTTGGAAGCAGACAAGCTGTAGCGCTCTAGAAATAGATGGGATTTCGATTTAACTGCGCAACAGTGTTCTGTCATTTTATTTTTGCAGTTTTATGATCAGTGAAAACACAGGTCTGTGCAGAGAAAAAACAAGTAAAAATCCCCGAAGATGATTACTAACCTTGCTATTGATTACCATAGCGACAATCAAAGCATTTAGAAAGTACAGCAGGAAGCAAATTCTGCCGCCGACCTGCTGGGTCTTTACATATCTCATCTGGCCTGGAACGCCTTGGGGTCCACCAGGAGGAGCTGGAAAGTGATGCTGAGGAGAGGGACATATGGGGTGCTTTGCTTGGCCTGCTGCCGCCGCGACAAACTTGGATGAATGCCTCCTGATTTTAGCTGATTCAGATCTTCTCTCATTTCAAGAAGTATTATTAAGTGTAATTACATGGACATGAACAACCCATCTAAGATCAGGTTTTTGGAGTTTCCCTTTCATTTGTTTGAGCATGTAAACACTTTATCCTGTTCATAAGAATATGTTCAGAATATGCCAGCTGAAGCACTTTGAAATAAAAACCACGATGTATACAGGGAATACATGCAAGCTGATTTCTCTGTGTTCATGTAAACGCCATATCCCTAAAATGATCATAACCAGGATAAGGCTCATGAATGGGTTACTTATGTCCATGTAGTTGTGCTCATTGACAGCAAACATATTTAGAACTTTTCTTTAAAACTGCTGGAAACCTGGCTTAAAATAACAAGAATGCAAATATGATCTCAAAGATGAGTATTTCTTTAGGCATCCACAAAAATCTGAGCAAATATAAATGTTCGTAACTATTAGAAAAAGTTCAAAAACAGCTCATTTGGCCGCTCAAACCATTTCTCGGGATTATGGGGGCATGATTAGATCCCTTTCATTTCAAGTAACGTTACAATTTTATTTTCCTTTCAGTCGTGGGCGTTAAAACCATTTGCTACCACAGAATAAACTACCATTCCTATCAAATGGACCCTACTTCAGAAAGCTAACTCAACTAACTAGCAAACTAGGTTAGACCACTCAACTCAATCCACTTACATGAAACAATTGATCTTATTATCAACTCCGTGATTGACACAGATGTTGGTGTTACACCAAGTTGGCTAACAAAGTAGCTTCAAAACAATGTATAGCATGCATGGGAATGAATTACACCTTTTGAGAACGGCTCTAACAATAGTCAGTAACTGTCTGGGCCGATGAAGCTGAAAATCGGCCAATTCCCATCATCAGCAGATCTAACGGTGCTTGTCTAGCTCTTACGTATCTTGCCTATTCAAATACAGCACATCTAAGTCATGGTTGACTGAGAAATTCCTGTTAAAATTAAGGAAGAAGCACCTCATCCTCATTAAATAAAAGGCTAGTTAAAATGTGGTTATACACATGAGAAATGCTTTAGAAAAATTACACAACTCCCAGACTCCCAGTGAAGGAGCACTGGGGAAAATGCTGTTTTCTTGGGTATGAACACACACAGTGAGACACGCACACACACACACTGATCTCTTTGAGAGCAACTACTGCCACAGATTTCCCTCTGAGATTCAGCATAGGTCAGCTCAACAGCTGTTCACCCCCTTAGCCAATCAAACAGGAGCAGGGGGCAAGAACCCAGCATAAATACACGCCAATTAAAGCACCTAAAATTAATCCAAGCAATCAAGCTTCCCATGTCTTTCTTCTCTTGCTACTTCTTCCTGACAGTTTGAATGCCATCCATCACATCACTGCCAGTTTCTCTCCTGATTAATTTATGACGAGAGAAGGTGAATTGAATCAATGTTTTAAGACGAGTGCTTGGTGGAAAAATAAATCAAGGATGAACAAATCTCCGTGGCGTTGGATGAAAAATAAAAGCCTGGGGGTATGCCAGGGAGGGAAGACAAAACAAACATGGTGCAGTGGTACAATAAGGCCCTACACTAAAAGGAGCAACGTTGAATGAATACTGATAGGGAGCGATAATGTCATACATCATTATTCTTCTTTATGGTTGTTGCTATTCAAAGCTTCATTTTTATTTTATATGTAGGGTCTTAATACTAAACATATTCTCAGCACATATATTTCAATGGCTGGGTCCATGTTTTTTTCCAATCACTGACCTGCAGCACTGTCTGGATCTTGGCAGAGACGTCAGCCTGCTCGTAGAGTTTGATGCCCTCCTCGTGGGCCCCGCCTGGGCACTGCACAGCGATCCGCTGCAGGTGGGCCAACACCACGCTGTGAGCCTGGGCCACTGCCTTGAACTTATCAAACAGGAGCTCCAGCAGTTCCAGCAGCAGCCTGTAGAGGGACCCAGAGAGACAGAAAGGGAGGGAGAGGATGGGATACATGAGGGATGGGGAGCAGGAGAGTGAGGAGTAAAGACATGAAGAGGCAGAGAGGGAAAAGGGGGGAGATCAAGAGAACTCATGAGAAGTACTACTTAACAAAAAACAAAACGGATGTGATACAGTTTTTTCGCTTCCTGAACACATTTATTTTGTAAGCCAGCACAACATTCACTCAGTTTATTGGTTAGGAAAATACTCTGATCCTACAATAAATCTCTTAGCCTTGGATTACTCTACGAAGAAAGCTGAAAGCCTACAAGGAATTCAGCTTCTGTTTTTATATTAGAGAAGGAGCTAACAGTGTGGTGTGAAAGACCATATTAAGTCTCCACATCCCAGAATATTGCCACAGTTAGAGATAGCTTTCTGTGCTCCTGCAGGTCTGCCTTGCCTCTAAATTCATGGTATCCATTAAAACAGCTGGGAAATAGTAATTAAAATACATCGTAAAGTGCAGCTCTAATATGATTTTATAACAACACAGTCCCAGCAGTTGTAGCAAATGTACTGTTGTGATTAAACAATATGTATATTTTTCATTAACAACCACTTAGGTGTAGACATCTCACAGTTTATAAGCCCCTGCTAACAGTCTATTCAGATGCATTCATTCAATGGCTAGACTGAAAGAGGTAAGCTGGGTTTGTGTGGGTGGCCGGGAGTTTTGGGAGAACAGAAAACACCTGTGGAGCTGAGGACAGACAGACAGGGTGTTCCAATACTATTTGGTATGCCAAAACAATCTGTGTGTTTTAATACAGAGTACGTCAAATGCAGTATGCCAAAAATACCAGAATGTTCTACTGCATCCGGTCCCATTTTGCAGTGTGCAAGCCAGCATGCTTTTCTGGCTATTCTGACCCACAATCCTCTGTGCAGCAGAAGATACAGCACATCGGCTGAGCCGTGAACACATGACAGCTTGACAGCCTGTTGACAGCTGACAGAAGCCGCAACGACTGATGACAGTGCATTCAAGTGACCGATGACCAGTGGAATAGGAGGAATACTAATTTTTTTAAGTGGACAAAATAATCATTAATTAAACAACAGCAGAGCTCTTTGGGTTATTTTATGTCTCTGGCGAGCTCGGTGAATGGCGTTTTGTTTTCTCTTCAAGGTAATATTCATAAGCAGGAGAGTCAAAGTTCAGGGCGTAATGTTTTGACGTCATATGTCCTGATTGTGTGCATACTGCATGCAACAGTACGTACTTCTAAGGGTAACTGCAGTACCGACTAAAAGCAAAAAGTATGCAATTTGAAACACACCCAGGAAAGGCTTGACTGTCGTTGGAAGGAGCAGGACGGTGTTTTAGTTTAGTTTAGTTCATCAAGATCCCCACTGGCTTCTTTCTGAGGTCCACAACAACTTTACTGTACATTTGTGACACTGCACAAAACAACTTACATGTAACACTTAACAAAATAACAGGACTAGACTAAAACATTGACACAGACAAACAAGACAGCTCCCGGTGATACAATAATTGAGAAATATGTTTTTCCATGATTTCATTTGGTAAGTAACCGCCAGATTGGGGTTAAATTTTGCTCTGATTACCTGATGATGCTTCGTTATTGTAATATTAGACCAAGTATTTACATAATACTATTTCATATGCACAGTACATGTACATTAAAGGGAATAATTCCCAGGAAAAACAATATTTTTTACCATAAATTTAGTTCATTACAGTTATAAAGGTAACCGTTTCTTGTCGTCGCCTTTGGAAAACATGAAAACATGATTAGCATACTGACAGAAAACCATCACTAACTAAATGTCCCTGCACCACAAACAAAGACAGATACAATGAAACTTACCTTTGATATAATTTATTAGGCTCTGTAGATAATCTAGGTCTTAATCAAAAGGTGCTGCTCCTAAAATCTAGCTTTACTGTTTTCCTGTGTGATATGTCGAGGGAGTGAATTCCATTCATTATTATATCTCTGTACGTCACTGTACCTTTGATTGAGTTTGTTCCTACTGTTGGTAATATAAAGTTTCCTCTTGTAGCATGTCTTGTAGGGTACTTTTGATTGCCCCACCCCCCACTATGGTATCGTTTTTTTGTTTGGCTTTCACCTAAGTTGGAGAAAAGCTGTTTTTTTAAATTCATAAACCTGAAAGGTGATCCAGAATGACAAAGTAGTGTCAATGCTTGGGCTCGCCTTGGACAAAGAGACAGCCAGCCAAGGCCCAGTATTCTGCAAGCGCAATCACCTCCCCAGTATACTGACACGCCTGTTCTTCTACTTGGTTTAGCCAAAAATACCCTACGTCACCTCGTCTTTGTCGGTCCAGTCTGGGTATGTAACAACACAATATACTAAAAATTATTGTGCATCTCATGCTTCTGCTCCATGTTACATTTTGTTTTAGCCTTTTCGCTGCCACCAGAAATATGTAGATGTACACAGACGCATTCTACTTATGCAATGATTGCTATTTCACCATATTTACACACAACAAAGGTGACTAATATGTAATTGTAAAACTGCTATGTATAAATCCGACTTATGACTTGCTGTAAGGAAAACTAGAGGCAAAACTATGGCTGCCCTGAAGAAAATGAGGGAAAACAGCAACTAGCAACCCAAAAATCATTACTGAGTGCATTTCACATTACCAATTAGTCTGCCTGTTTTCATTCACATTTCTTATTCAGCACATACTCTCAGCTATTTTTCCTACAGTAATAACCTGGCACCTGGGCTGGCTATTGGGAAAGTAGCGAGCTATCCGACCTGGACTCAAATGAACAGCTCCTCTCATTAGTTTCTAAATGGCTGTGGCTGAAGAAGAGTGCACAACCAAAACCAAAAAGACCTTCCACTTGATCTGAGTGCTACGGCTCTGGATTGGAAACTCTCACAGTTGCCTCATCTACACTAATGCTTTCATACAGACTTTGCTATACCTGCTTTCTGCACAAGGACAAAGCTTTCAAAGTAAAGAGGGAACACAGGTTACATTAACTGGGTCTGAATGAGTACCCAGTGCACCCATGCTAGTGAGTGCCCACTTTATTTTAGTGGTGTTATTACAGTTAATACAAATATAGTCACACTGTTTGTCTAACGCTGGTCTTTTAGCACTCTCCTCTGGCATTTTAATTGGGTTTTATTTAATTGGTGGTAAGTGAGACCTTTGTTTTTGGCAAGTGCAACCTACAAGTTCAAAATATTGGCAGTCCCAAATAGACCTAGATTTATATATGTCTTTTTTCTGGGCAGCTGAACCATATAGTTGTTTTATATACATATAAGCTGTGCAACTCTTACAGATAGCTGCATTTGTAAATCCAATTTGACCTGCATTGTTTTTATGCCCCTTAACTTTGGAACTCATTGCCTCGGGATATTAGAAAGGCAAGCTGTCGCTGTATTTTTAAAAGAAATTTGAGGATATACTATGCAGGATTTTCCTTAAAAAACAATATACAGACTCATACAGAAATAATCTCTTTAAATGATCATTTATGATCCACTAAAAGTATGTGGCGGGGTACTCATCTGCAGAGACTGTCTGTATATTCTTATTTTCTTCTTGTTTTCTGGGCTTGGAGCATTCATTGGCGGGAACCTCCACAGCAATCAGGTGAGGTCAGGGCTTTGTAAAAAGGCGGTAACCAGGTGCCAGCAGGTCTACAAGAGACACAGCCCCCCAAAAGAACGCAAATATAGAGAGGCAAAATGCAAAAGGAGTATGTACGGACAAATCTATTAGTTACTGGAGAAAGTGGACATGTCATTTTGATATAGTGGCTCCTACCCAATGACAACATACAGTTAATAAAAATATTTGTGTAACCAGTGGTGTCTAGCTCTGCGTTGTGTGCGTTGTGTTGGAGGAAGACACTCAGACGTGGATATCTTTGGAGGCAGTCTCCATTTAATCTGACGAAAGCAGCCTGACGAAAGCAGCATAAATACAAAATCCTTCGGTCAGTAACGTTGTCTTCCATAAAACGTGCCCCTACACAAATTAAATGACACAGAAATATGTTGTAGTGTATCATAAGCACTTCACAACAAGTTTAAGCTACCCAGTAAACTTTTAAATGCAAATAACAGAGGCTAAAACACAGAAATTTCTCCCGACTGCAAGGCCGCTTACCTCTCCCACGGAGATCAACAACAAAAGTGAAGAGGAAAAGGCGCGGAAACACTAGTTACAGAGGGCAGTGTCACACCGTATAATAAACGTAGGTGTACAGTCTCAAATTAAAGGCCTACATGTGGCCTAACGTGTCAGGTATTAATTAAAATAAATATAAATAAAATAAACTTAAGGTTACACAGATTTTGTGTATTTATAACACAATAACTAATGTACATTTTCTTTTACACATATTGCTGCTGCATAATTGACCCTGTTACATTTGTACATACATTAGTGTGAGTGTGAAGGTATTGATGTTCTATGTGTGTGTGTGTGTGTGTGTGTGTGTACAGATGTATGTCTACAAAGATGTGCAAAGTAGTTGTGTAACTCCACAACTTAACCCCTTGTCTTTAACAATGTTATTTATGTGACTCATGGACCCAATATGTTATTTTTGGAACAATTTATTTCTCTATGATTGTCTGTGCTTTTTTTTCTACAAAAAGTCTATAAAAAATAAAGTTAAAAAAATGGAAAAGGAGAGTGAATCTCAGATTGACTTTTACTTTCCCTGGCGAGTGTGTTTAGTAGTATCTGACAATCCTGCATAGTTACCTTTAAAGACCTACCTTTTTAATATGTTTTTTAATTTGGAGTGTTATCACCTTAGTTTGGAAGTTTTAATAACTGGTTTTTACCTTTTTTTTTTAATATCCCTGGTTTTTATTATATTTATTGCATTGACTTTTATTTGCTGATTTTCGACATTTTATTCTGTTATTTCTTGTATTTTTAGACTTGAAAATTTGTATTTATTTTTGTATATTTCTAATTTTT